GTTCCAGGGCAACACCTACTACCCGAGGAAGACAAACAAGATGCTCTGGAAGCAATGCAATTTACTCATGCACAGGTAGTACATATTGTTACACTGTCACCAAAGAAATGGTTCAAATTCTCACCTTGCATACACCTGCACCATCTCAGTGAAGTCTCTGGTATAACTGGTGTAACTCCATACAATTGCTGTAACTGAGCTCTCTCACAATAATAGTGATTAATCCACAGGACAGGAAAAATGGAAAACAAAATGTCTGAATCAGCCAACAGTCAATTTATTGGCCTTTAGTCACCAAAGCGTGCCATGGGTGAGGTATAGGAAAAGGTATCCACAGTCAGCCTGCAGTGCCTCCAAGACACTCTTCCAAACCCAGTAGAACATTCTGCAGTAGTTCTCATTTGCTTCTTATCCAAAAATGCCTGCAAGCCCAGCAGTTTATGAAGCAATTCCACTCCAACCAGATTAAAAAAGAAAAGGAAAAAAAAAAAAAAAAAGAAACGAGGGATTTCTGGGGACCACTCTTAACACTCCTGTATCTCCAGCTCTATAGCTGTATTCAACCCGTTCTGCTCACTGCTCAGTCCCAATTACAATGAAAGTATTTAATTTCCTCTTTGATTTCCCTTCAACAACAGATTGCAACTTGTGACACTTCAAGTAATTTTGGTAGCTCATTTAACACACACTGAAACCTGAGTATCTGCTGATTATGTTCCCAAGCTCTGGCTCATTGCAATAAAGGATGGAGAAAGGAGATGCAATCTCTGGAGACTGAGAACCTGAACATGATTACTGCTGGCTGAAAACTTGTTTTGTCCCAGTAGTCTTGGGGTACAGCTAGAATCTTTCATGAATGATTAATGAACTATAGGCAGATCAATGAAACTCTGCCCTAAATGTATCTATAACCAACTCAGGTCGGGGACAAAGAAGTCTAACCAGCCAGTATCCTGTAATTTACAACTCTTGATGTGGTGAAAAGGAGTCATTCATCTCATTTACTGTGCCTGGTTTCTCAAGCCCAAGTACCTGAGTCACCTAAGTGATTATTTTTTTCCCTTCCCTGCTTCCTACTCAACATTAAAGTTATTATGTGGTGGGTTGGCCTCTGATATCCGTGTTCATACGGAGGAGGGCCTTCCTCCATCAGTAACCCCACTGATTCCAAGAACTGAAAATTCATGTGTGGTGAACACATCAAAGTATAACTCAACCACTTATCAAGAGAATATTAAGCTTCCCATAAAGCACTTTTTAGTGGTAAGTCTTGGAGATCTTTACATTCTGTCAGCAACATCAAACTTCAAAATTATTTCTTATCCCTAATTTCTATAACCAGCATAGTCGCTTACTTCCAGGAATAATAAAGACTGTAGAACATACTCTCATCTTTCTTGATGGATGATGAGTTCGCCTCAGTAAAGTTGTTAACGATGTAAAATAAAATGCAAATTAAACAGCACAATCAAAATCAAGCTATTAAAAAAATAGTCATGCAGGCAGTATATGATACTAAGTACCACCCCTTTGCTTACATTGTTACGCAGATAATACCAGCATATTAGAAACATAATAAATCACAGAAAGCTGTTTCTCTAGCGGGGAGTTTCTCAAACTATGGGTCATGACCCTCCATGGGGATTCATGAATGATTTTGAATGGGGTCACAAAAAACTGTTAGCGAGAAGCAAGGGCAGATATTTCCCCCTAAGTTGAGCAGCCCAATCCTCTAGCAGGGGAACAGGAGAGCAGACTGTAATTAGTGGCTGCAAGTATTTATACTTGCTAGGGAACTGCTAACTACTTTTAATTACAACAGCTCACTTTCTCCAGGAGAGGGGAGCAATATAGGCTAGAATTAAAATTGCTGGATAGTTGCTAACTGCCTTTCATTGCAGGCAATAGATCTGCTTCTCCAGGGAGGAAGAATAAACTTGTGACTGGATCTTATTCCCCCATCATTTAGAAATGGGGCCATTACCAACTCAGGGGGTCACACAAATATGCAATCAAACACAGTTGTATTTTCAAACCGTGTGAGGAAGAAATCAATAGTCTCATTTATAGAATATGCGACCACCAAGCAAAGAGTGAGGTGCCCCATGCAATCTGCATTGCATCCTGGTGAAGAAGGATGTTTATTAAAGTGAGAGGCTAATTAAAAAACTAGAATGATCTCACTGAAAAGCACTTGTACATTCCTCTCTGCTGCCCTGCCTGTCATCTGAACCCACTTTCTTGCCCAGAACAGATCACCTTTTCAAAGCTGTCAAAAACTGGATGTACCAAGATGGAAACTGAAGGTTGGCACTTGAAGCTGCAGTCCCACACCACATGGCCTGGCTTTGTTAGCACTGATGAGAGTCCTCTCCTCTTCTTCCTGAGGGCAGCTTTCATCGAGACTGGAAGAGAAAGTATCCAGCTCTTCTCCCTCTGTCAAAATTAGGGATTTTAGGGAAATGCAGGAGTGATATGCACTCCGCATCCCCATGTTAGGGGCTTTTAGTGTCACCAAAGTCCATGTTTGCTTTCTTGAGGTCTCTGTAAGTTACACGAGGCCTGTGGCTACAGAGCAGCCTGTCTCCTTCAGTGCCCTCTGGCTATTGCAGCCACCACGTACCTCGCTCCAGGAGTGCTCTGCAGCTCCCCAGAAGGGAGTGAGAGTGATGTCAAGTGAAAGCAACCTCACTGGCAGACATGCTCTTATCTCAGCAGCAAGGGTCTCTGCTGCACGCTGCCCCCACCCTCCCGTTCCCATTTTCACACTGCACCCTGCGATGTGACACCCTTTCCCTGGGGAAGCAGCTCAGAGAAGAGATCCAGTTTGCAAATAACCTGGGTAAAAAGAAACAAAGATGGAAAAGTGTTGTTTTTCAGCTGGATCAGTTTTCCGACCTGTTGCATTGCACAACCACATGAGCACCTGTGGTGGCTTCAGCCAAGAATGGGAAACATTAAAAGTGGATTAAACAGCACTGCCACGTAGTGGCTGCTTGTGAGGGAAAGACTAGCCCTGGCTGCTGGCGGGAGGGAAGAAGGACAGGTGACCTGCATAGTGTCTACGCAACTTGGCCATGGAAAAGGGCTCTGATAGTAAGAAGCAGCTCCTGAGTTTTGCAGGCAAAGGCATAACACAGCGCAGGGGTCAGCATCGAAGCCGGGCAACTTGAAACTCAAAATGAACACAGCCTCCTGCTAGTGACGGTGATTAGATGTGGGAGGAGATGAACTTGCATTGGCTCAGAGCATTAAAGAAGAGATTAAGCCATAAGACCTACATTTTGGGTCTCTCCTGCATTTGTGTACAAGAACTGGGATGAAATTGTCATAATGAGCCCCTTGCAGAGGAGAGAGTAAAAATGGTGCCAGCCCACTGAACTGGAGAGTAGCTGCTCCCATTGAGGCCTGCCTTGTACCCAGTGGCCTGGATGGCATGGACAGGGTTGTATCAAAAGTGTGTGCAAATAGGATGACCTACTGGAGACAGTGAAAAATACCAGACCCCCCATCTTTCCTAACACTAAAACCAGCATGTTCATGCCCTGGACACACTCCCACTCCCACTGCAGAAAGTCAATGCTAAGGAAAAAGCCCTTCTGCAAGCCATGCCAGCCACAAGGGATGCAGCATAGCCCTTGTCTCCTGACAATTTGGTATGTGATACACAGTGAACTACTTCTCCCCAGGGAACCCAGGAGGCCCAAGTTATTCCAGAAACTTCCCTGAGCAGAAATCCTGCTTCCAAAATCAAGTAGAAACCCTTCCCGAAGCATTTCTGCACTCCTGTCAGATCTGCAGGGATCCACTCAGGGGATCTTTTCACACCTTCCTGTGAAATGCTCCATAACTGCATGTTTTATCAAGTTTGCCTTTGCAGCCTGTCGGCAACATTTTGACTAGCCAGAAAGGTTACCTCCATGCTTTCTGGTGCTGTGCAGGATGCCTACAAGCCGTGCGGCTTCTTCAGGGATAGGGAGGCAGCCCCCAGCAGCCTGAGAAGCCAGAGAGAATGGTTTCAAAAACATATTTATTGATAACTGCAAAGAGAAAAATCAACGTTTAATTCCCTACCCCTTGACTCTCCATACTGCTTAGATTTGTGTCCCTTCTGTGCCAGGTGAGGCAAAGCCTGGACAGGTATGGCTGGGAAGGGGACGCTCTGGGCAGCTCCAAGTAGAACGGAGGCTTTGAAGTACATTTTCAAAACGTTATGGATTTCATCTTTGCTTAGCAGCTGGTTACTGTGCCGAAGCCATGAATCACACTACTTGAAGTGATTGAAGGAGGGGAAAGAATAATAATAATAAAGTGGCAAACTAGCTCAGGGATAGGCTTGGGAGTCCTATTAAACTTGAGAGGCTACGATTTCTATTCCCAGAACTGCTGGTTAACACAAGAACAAGCACCATGCTTCCCCACCCCATCCAAAGAGTTGTACTAGGCAAAAACTGAGGAGCAAACCAGCAACAGGTCAATCCTGTAATGTGTAGTCAAAAGTTGCCAGCAGATTAACATGGCAGCGCTCATGAAAAGTCTGCAGCAGCTCTGGCAAGCTTTGCAAAATTTGTAATTATAGCTACGGGCTTCATCGCAAAAGGAACCAAATATGTGATGTTTGTTTCTGTGGAAGAATGGGAGGAGACTAATGGTAAAGGAGAGGGAGTGGGAGTGCGGAAGCGGGGAGAGGGGAAGGCAGAGAACCGAGCCCTGCCGAGTTTTCAGGGACCCGCAGAAAAAATCATCTAAATAGAGTAGTTCAGACCTCAAATACCGTGTGGTGCTTTGACAGTCTTCTGGTTTATGGCATACTTAACAAAGTGTTCTTACATTTTCTAGGCTGGAATGTCCATTTGACTATAGACTCTCTGCTACTTTGCTCGTACTTTAACATTTTGGACACGTGACAAAAATGTGTGTAACGCATTTTTTAAAGTGTTGATTGTGCTCGTAATTTTCAAGTCAGAATATAAAATAAACATCTCTGCCCTTTCTTCCAGCAGGCAGCACAGAGATCTGCTCTCCGCGTTCTATCTGACAGGTACATTTTGTCATTTTTATGAACTATAAATTGCTTTATGAAACGTTGAGCCCTATTTATTGTGGCATATAACTCATAATCGGATTTTGTCCCCAAAGTATCTGTGAACTGGGATGTTAAACATTTTGCATGCTTGGATTTGTCATGCATGTGTAGAGTTTATTACTGCAAAAATCACAGTCGTCTTGTATTTCATACAGAGTATGCAGAATCCCTTGTTGTGGTACCAAACGAGAGATAAGAAACTTACTGGAGAAGGCATGAATGATGCAGTAAATTCAGAGCTTTAGAGTTTGCTGAGATATATCTGAGCTTATTTTTCAGCAATAAGTACTTCATTTATTCCGAGATGTTCTCTTTTGACTTTTTCCAAATCCTTTCCTTGGGAATTACTCTTCTTTTGATGAGATTCTCTGTACGTTTTATGCACAAAAACAATGCCCTTTTTTACCCCTGAAGTTTTGCGGGATTGGTATTTTGGAGGAATTTAATTCATTTTTTCACTTCTTCTGGAATTGCATCAGTGCTCCAGGCAGATAAGCAGGGGACCAAATCCTTAGACAGTGTTCAGGTTTTACTCAGCTCTTTTTCAAGCAAAAATCCATTAACTTCAACGGGAAACTTGCCCGAGTGAGGAATTCAGGATTTGGGCCATAGTAAATGTTATAGTTGGGCCGTAGGTCTGCACAGGTATTTACCTTAAATGACTTTTATGAAAGAGGATTGATTGAAATATAAGGTAGCCTTCTAAGACGGTCCTGATTTCTTTTCCAGTTTTGGGAACGGGGGGAGGGAAGGGGGAGGAGAGACTGTACATTTTAGTGCCTGTGAAAAAGAACTAGCAGATTTACATTTATCCACAAATGAGGTACTGTGTCATGCAGGCTGACACAGAGTAAATTTCCCCATGCCTTGTTGGCAGCCCCCTCTGCTCCGTCTGGCCCCCCGCCCCCCGCCTCCCTGGGAATAAGCGGTAATTGACTCTGGAAGCCAGCTCAGGCCAGGATTTCTCCAGAGCAGAGCCTGTCACTTAGGCTGAATTATATGTTGTGCATGGATGAATAACATTTCTCTCTGCTTGGAGGCTAAGACCGCCAAAATTATCGACCTTCCCCCCCAAGTTTACAAACACCATTTTGTTTAGAATTTCCCCCCCCACCTTAAGGAAAAAAAGTTCCGAGTGAAATGTATGGGATGCGGGTGAAATCGCTGGCGTGGTTGTAGGGCACACAAGTGTTTGCTGTAACTGGGACGAATGCAAAAAGAAAGAGGAGTCAGAGTCAGCAGTATGCCTCTCTCCCTGGAGGTGTGCAGGCTCGCCCCTGAGGCAAAGCAGCTTTTGCACTTTGTGGGGACAATACTGTGACCAAAGAAAACATGGGGTTTTTTTCTCAGCATCCTTCCCCTGGGCTGAACAAGGAACATTCCTGCAGAAGTGCCCCTGGAGGTAGTTACCAAGCCCCAAATCCCTCACTGCGCTTTCTGTCTCCCCTAGAAAGAAAAGTGGCGGTGATGGATAGATGGTCCCTACCTCATCAGGGGTCGTGAGGGAGCTGGGTGCAGGCTGCCCTCATCCTCAGGGCAAAAGGGCTGAAATGTTGCCCGTCACACCTCAGATTTAGTATTTATGACCAGATATTCCCCTCTCTGCCCCTGAAAGCATGCCCAGAGACTACAGCTTTCCCACCTGCTCTGCAAACATTGGGCCATCGGGGCACCCTCCTCCCCTCCCTCTGGAGGGGGTGCTGGGCAGGCTGCGGGTGCACCCTGTGGGGGTGCCTCCCTGCCCCCTGCAGCCTCACTGCAGCCAGCGAACGGGAGGGCAGGGGGCCAAAAACCCACACTGAGACAGCAGTTTCTGTCTGGTCTTGGCTAAAGTGAGGATGCCTATGATATTGCTGCTCATTACTCGTGTCCCAGTAGCGACTAAGAGCTCCCGGTCACACACCAGCACTTCCCAGCGCCAAGGGAGATGGCAGCTTAAATAAAGCTCTCGGTAATTTCGCTCATTATTTTTCTGGAAAAATACTCTCCAGCAGTTCCTGTTTCAGTTTTTGCTTTTGAATTCCATTAAAAAGGTACCAGTTAGCTAAACTGAAAGAGGGAAAAAAAAAAAAAAAAAGAGTGTTTAAACCTGTAGCCATTGATTTCTTTAGTGCATTGCACTCAGTCTTGTTTTCAGAATGACACAGTAACCCCCAGCAGATTTATGTGCAAACACAAAGATTAGTGACCCAGAAGCTTGACTGAAACAGCTTTTCTGCTTCCAGAAGACAGGTTGCTCTGCACATGCACTGACTATTTTGTCAGGAAAGATGCGCTGGCCCCATTAGCTTTTCATTCTCTCATGAAAAACCCTCGGTGTTTATACAGCACAGCTTGGTTTTAATTTTATTGCGCTCTTCAGTAAAGTGGTCTAACTATACAGATTGCTCAGTTTCTGGGACAGGAGGAGCAAGAACTCATATACCTTAATGGTATAGTGCTAGCGTATCTTCAATTGTCTGACTCTCATATCCACTGCCTGAATAGCTTTCAAATGAAGAAAGATGTCTGTAACTAAAATACACAGTGTGTTCTGTTGTTATTTAACAGTAAGCAGTGTGGTTAAGCCAGGTCTTAAACCTGCTTAATCCCACTGAGCTAAATAGATTTTATTATTGACTCCCATGGTCCCAGAACTCTGACCTTGAGACTGAAGTTAAAAGCTAATTTTTTGCAGTCTGTTCCACCAACCTAGAAGCACTTACTTGCTGGATACATTTGCAATGGAGAATGTCCAGCTGTAAATTACAGCTGTTTGTAATCATACCCAAACACAACACTCATTATTATTCTTTTGTTCTTTTTAGGCTGAAAAGCCCACCATGAGGGAGACCGCACAGTACTTAATCCACACATTAAATTTACTCGCAGCTCATATTCATGTGCAAGATAAGATTTTCCATGAAGTAAAGATTTACGGTGGTCCTAGGGCACTTTTATTCCCCTAGCTGCTTTTATTTCTCTGTGCTGTAGTGTAGGCCAAGTGGGTCTGCCTAAGAGTTTTGAATGCTTAGAGGAAAGTGTTGTACCGCCACTGAATTTTCTCTCGTTGTAATAGGGGAAAGATAGCTCATTCACTGCGGTGCTTGGGTGGTACTTAGGAGACATGCTTAATTCACAGCTGTGGTCTGTTACACTTTCTGTGTACTTAACGCTGGAGGACGCAGGCAGGCCCTGCTAGCCGTGCCCGCATGACCCTCAGCGCAGGCGTGTAGGGCAGAGGGAGAGCTGAGCCCGCTCAGCCCAGCAGTGCTGGCAAGCACGTATCATCCCAGCTGATAAGTCCTGTAAAGAGTCCAACTCACTAGCTTACGCTCAGCACCTGGTTAATATATACGTGTCATCGAGACCTGAACCTCTAAGTACAGGCTATGATAAACCTTTCTGATTTACCACCTTGGGCTGTTGATAGACAAGGTGTCTCAACACTAGCATCCATTTGGCAGTGTACACAAGCCCCGTTCATGATGGTTGGTGAGTTACACAGCCTGTCTGAGCTTCGATCCGCCTTCCTGTCAGGTGGAAGGGATAGCACTTTGCATTTCCATGTAACCATGCCTTGTCTGTCCGTGTTTGATCGTGGTTAGGACATTGAAATGCAGGCTGTGCCAGGCATGACCTGGTTTACCCTAATGGGTCTGGCCAGTTGCACTTAAGATCCCGAAGGGCAAATAAATACTCCCTGTTGTCCTCTGGAGCGGCAAAGGGTTTGGGGAGCTGAGCAGCAGGTTGTGTGAAGCAGCAGAGCCCCGCATCTGTGAGGAGAGAGACATTTGCAAGCAGAGGTGCTATTATACTGCCTCTTGCGGCTGCGTGAACACATTTAGCCCTCAGCTACAAGGAAAATTGAACAGAAAAAGGTTGACCTGGGACAATCCAGTCCATTCCCCTGATATTGTAAGCAGCCACAGGATTGAGGATTAGTCCAGTGGGATCTGTAGCATGGCTCTTCTCCTTCAGACAAAGCCACATTGAGATACACAATTCGGGTTAGGAGGCCTGGGGGGGGGCTGCCTGTAAAGTATTAAGGCAACAATAAGAGGCAATTTAGACTTTTAATAGATCACTTAAAGCAGGGAAGGCAGCTGTCCAGGCAGCCTTAAAATTTTCGGAGGACGGAGCCAAAGATTTCTTGTTCTCAAGTATCTGCTTGAGCTGTGATTAAGCGAAGCAGTTAAACTTGTGATACCCTGAAGTAAGTAAATAATCCAGTGGCAGCTAGCAAAAATACTCATGTGCTTCGTGTCACTCACATACTTACGTTTGTGTTGGACTGAGTTTTTCGATAACATCGCCTTTCACACCGTGAGACCTTCTCCACATGAGAAGCTACATGGTCAGCTTATCAGTGGAGTTACTCAGCGAGCTGGCTGGCCAGAAAGGCTTCATGTCTGGGTAATCAGTGACAGCCGAGGGGAAGCCTTGGCTTGAGACAGCTGATCTGGGTCCCAGCAGAGAACAACGGAACTGAGATCATGGGCTCTGCAGGAGGCGAAGGCTGGCCAGAGAAAAGTGTACACGCACGGTGTTCACTGCCACAGAAACCAACACACGGGTCTCACGGTGTTAGCACATTGCTTAAACTTTCTGGACTGTCTTTGCGAGAAAAAAGAGAATACCTCCGACAGGGGATATGGATTTATTATTTATGCCTTACATGAAAGCTTGGCTGTTTGGAAATGCTGGTGTCCCACAGCTGCAGCCCTCCCACACGGTACAGGGTAGCAAAGGGTGACTGCTGCTATGTATCGTGGCAGAAATGGTCTAGAGTTTCTCAGCCCTCCTAGTTAGAGAACTTGAAGGACAAAGAGTGCTGATATGTATTGTATATAGGACACTATTTCCAGTATTGGAGACTGTTGTGAATTAGTGAAAAGGAGCTTTAAAAGAAGAGAAAAATGGGACTCCATTTCCCTTTATTTAACTTGTGAGCAAGATCTGTAGCACTCATCTGT